CTGAAGGCATGCCTCCAGTGACTTAAGGACCCTGCAACAAAGCCTCACCTGTTAAAGACCCATGACTCCTGGGATTTGGACCTCCATCGGGGCAGTAGCTCGGAGCTCAGAAGACCTGTTATACTAAGTGAAGTAACACAGATTCAGAAAAACAGATGACATATGTTCTCCCTCATATGTGGCTCCTAGCACCAAATCCTTTTAAATTCCAGGACCTTTTATTAAGATAATGCTATACAGCAGTCCCTTCTGCAGGAAGTAGCTACCATCATCACGACTTCAGCTGAGCCTGATCGCTAAACATAGTTACAATTGGGCTTGTTGACGATTGTGCTCATTCATTAAAAGAGTGCCACGCAGGGTCACTGGACCCTCACTTGAGTATCCAGCCACTCTTCCCAGCCAACTAGTCCAGGCTTGGAAGACAAAAGAAAAATGAGGAGGAACCCAATAGAGAGATGCTTTTGGAGGCTTGTCCAGAAATTCCAATGAACTCTCATATGAAGATTTGAAACTGTCCTGTTCTGACTTTTTTCTAGCTCCCTGTCTAAAATTTGTAATGCTAATTACTCTTGCCTTTACTTCTCCTTCACATCTCCTGGTCAGGATTCGAGAACTTTCATTTCCCCTTAGAGATAAGAGTTATGCCATTTGGGAGTCTTTTAGATTAGGCCCACTGAAGGGGTACTCCAATTGCCTTACCCTGCATCCCTGTTCAGCATGGAAGAAGTCAGAGCAGACTGTGACCCAATTGCCTATTGGCAATTTGGGTAGCCCCTTCAGAGGATGGTGTGCTAAGAATAGGAGGTAGGGATTGGCTAGGCAGTTAGGCTAAAAAGACCCCAAAGAAAAATAGCCAGTTGCTTGGCTAAAAATCAAAATGTCCTTGGGTCTCTGGGCAACATACTCTATTTCAAAGGCCAAAAATGTTGAAAATGTTTTGGAGCTTGTATCTAATCCTTGAAAGATTTTAGGGTTACCTCTTCAGAGGGGGGAATGTTGGAGGGGAGGAGTGGGCATGGATTTGATCAAAACACCTTATATGCATGTATGAAATTCTCAATAAAGTTTTTGTAAAAGTTAAAAAAAAAAAAGACCCATGACTCCTAAGTTGAGGACCAAACCTATGACACATGAGGTTGAAGGCAGACTGGAGAGTTTCAGCATTTGGTGAAAGCACAAAGTTTTAGATGAAGGGCAAGACAGTACCAGGGAAAATCCTGAAGAGGAGTGTGTCTTTGGCATAGATACCAGAAGCGGGATGTATTTGTTCATGTGCTCTGTGAAAACAGCTCTGCAGATGAAGTCTGTTTGTATTTAGAAGAGAGGGGTACTTTGTTTTTGAGATAGGATCTCACAGTGTAGTTCAGGCTGGCCTGGAACTCACAATGTAGCCCAAGCTGGCTTGTAACCCTCATCAATTCTTCTACCTCATCCTCCTATGTGCTGGAACTAGAGATGTAAGCAACACATCTGGCTTTATTTGTACTTTTAATGTATTTTATCTTTGATTGATTTCTTATATATTTATGGCTCATTGAGATATCGTTGACATATAAAAATTACATACAATTTCTGGATGTGGTAGCACACACCTTTAATCCCAGCACTTGGGAGGCAGAGGCAGGAGGATCTCTGTGAGTTCGAGGCCAGCCTGGTCTACATAGCGAGTTCCAGGTCAGCTGGGGCTACAGAGAGACCCTGTCTCAAAAAGACCAAAAAAAAAAAAAAATTAAAAAAAAACAAGTTTTCCTCTCCTAAAAAAAAAAGGGAGAAAAAAAGAAATTTTTTTTTTTTTCCTTTT